TAGTATTTCTAAATATTATCCATAAATAATTGGAACTTGAAATTCAAAGAAAAACTTACTGAATATAATAGGATCAAAATCATTAAATATATAAGTATATATCTAACCAAATATGTCTAAGATCTGACACTTGAAAACTAAAAAACACTGAAATAAGATCTAAATAAATTAGGAGATACACTGTGTTCGTGGAATGGAAGACTAAATAGTGTTACAATGTCAATCCCCCCAAACTGATCTATAGATTCAAAGCAATCTTGATGAAATTCAAAGGTGTTATTTTGTAGAAATCAGCTACCTGATCTTAAAATTTATAAGGAAAGACAAAGAACAAGAATAGCCAAGAACAAAGTTGGAGGACACACACTACTTAATTTACAGAGTTATTATAAAGTTACAGTAATCAAAGCAGTGACAACGTAGATGAACAGACCTGATAGTGTGCAGAAATAGACCCACATACACCTATAAAGTAGGCTGATTTTCATGAAAAGATCAAAAGCAATTCCATGGAAAAGGATCGTCTTTTTGGCAAATAATCCTGGAATAATCAAACACTTCATGCAAAACTGAAAACAAAAGGAATTGCAATCCATACCTTATATCATAGTAAAAAATTAACATGACATGTCTCATAGACCTAAATTTAAATCTAAAACTATGAAACTTTTTTTTTTTTTTAAAAAGGAGAAAATTTTTGTGATCTTGAGTTAGGCAGATTTCTTAGGTACACCAAAAGCATGATCCACAAAAAGAAACACTAGATTAACTGGACTTAAAAAAAAATTTAATTATGCTTTTTGAAAAACAAAATGAAAAAATCTCACTGACTGGAAAATATATCAAAACTCATATCTAATAAAAAATTCATGGCCAATATAAAACTCTCAAACACAATAATAAGAAATCAATGCAGTTTTTTAAATGGGTAAGATAGTTGAACAAACACGTCATCAAAAAAGCTATATGAATAGCAAACCAGCAAATGTAACTATGTTCAGATAATTATTTATTAGGGAAATGCAAATTAAAACCACAATACGATATCACCTATTAGAACAGGTAAAATCAAGAAAAAAATAAGCAAAAACTGATAATACTAAGTGCTGTTGAAAATATGGAGTAACAGGAACTGTCACATACTGCTGGCAGGAATTCAAAATGATTCAATCCTTTGGGAAAAGTTGGCAATTTTTTTTTTTTTTTTTTTGAGATGGAGTCTCATTCTGTTGCCCAGGCTGGAGTACAGTGGCACGATCTCGGCTCACTGCAACCTCTGCCTCCCAGGTTCAAGTGATTCTCCTGCCTCAGCCTCTTGAGTAGCTGGGATTACAGGTGCGTGCCACCACGCCTGGCTAATTTTGTATTTTTAGTAGAGATGGGGTTTCACCATGTTGACCAAGCTGGTCTTGAACTCCTGACCTCAGGTGATCCACCCACCTTGGCCTGCCAAAGTGCTAGGATTACAGGCATGAGCCACTGCACCTGGACAGGTAATTTCTTATATACATTCATCATATGACCTTCCATCTTGCCTCTAAATATTTACTTAAGGGAAGTGAAGTCATAAGTACACAAATACCTGCACATGAATATCTATAGCAGCTTTACTTCTAATTGCTCCAAAATAGAAACAACCCAAATATCCTTCAGCTGATGAATGGACTAACAAACTGCACTCTATCTATATAATCAAATTCTACTGGACACACACACACACAAAAGAAAAAAGAAGAAGAAAAGAAGAAGGGGGGGGAAGGAGGAGGAGGAGGAGGAGAACTACTGATACTGTAAACCAAAAATAAAATTCTAAGTCCCCCAACCATGGGGAATGAACCCCTCCTCTCAGCAAGGGCATTCCAAAGTTAACCTGAAAAACTTGTCCAGGCCATGATGGGAAGAAGCAGCCAGACATGCCTCATGATGCCCTCCTCCCTTTAGGAATTGCTGATAGAATAGACCCCTTAGGTCTGATAAGAAACATTTACAATCTATTCTCTCTGAAGCCTGCTCCCTGAAGGCTTCATCTGCATGATTAAACCTTGGCCTCCTCCACAACCCCTTATCATAATCCAGACATTCCTTTCTATTGATGATGACCCTTGCAACCAATTGCCAATCAGAAAATCTTATAATCGACCCATGATCTGGAAGCCGCCACTTCCAGTTGTCCCAGGTGTCCAGACCGAACCAATGTACACCGTACATGTATTCATGGATAATTTCTGTCTCCCTAAAATGTGTAAAACCAAGTTGTGCACTGATCACCTTGGACGCATGTTCTCAGGATCTCCTGAGGGCTGTGTCACAGGCTACTTGTCACTCATATTTGGCTCAGAATAAACCTGTTGAAATATTTTACAGAGTTTGACTCTTTTCATTGACAACACACACAATATGGATGAATGCACTATGTTATGATTTATGGATTTACTAAAGCTACATGATATATGATTACATTTGTAAGACATTCTGGAAACGGCAAAACTTTAGGTAAAGAAAACGTATCTGTGGTTTCCGGGGCTTGAGAGTTTAGGAGGTTGACTACGAAGGACACAAGGGCATTCTTTGTGTTGTTAAGGAAACTGTTCTATATCTTGACTGTGGTGATTTACATGATTATATACATTTGTTGAACTTCACTGAGCTCTAAAAAGGATGGATGTTACTGCATGTAAATGATGGCTCAATAAACCTAACTTTAATTTTTAAGAAAATGTTAACAGGTTTTTAAAACGCTGCTAACCAGGGACAAATATAATAAGGGTCAGGGCCAAGTGAATGAGATAAATCTGGTAAGAAGGAAGCACAGGGATTTAACCCAGAATGAAGAGAATCTAAAGAGAGAAAAAATTCTCAGGAGAAGATAAAACCAAGAAATTAGAGCTAAGATGTCTTCAAAAACCAGCTTCACTCTGGCCTGAGAGGTCATCAGGAAAACACAGAGTATCTTAAGAAATCAGAACTAATTTCCAGCTGCTCTAGAACTGAGCCAACTGAGAGTCACATGAGGAATGTGGAAGACAGATTGGTGGCCCTGAAGACCAAGGTCCCCTGGTGTACACACCCTGCATAATCCTCTCCACTTGAGTGTGGGTAAGACTTGTAAAGGTGGCGGGAATTCGCATCAAAGATTAGGTGACTAGTCAGGAGATCCTGAGTTCGTCAAAAGGCAGGTTGCCTGGGTGAACATGATCTAATCAGGTGAGCTTTAAAAGAAGGGCTAAGATTATTCCATCAGACTTGAAGAAGCCAACAGCTAATGGTATTGTGAACGATCTGTGTGGTAACTGAAGCAAACACCTGGGGACAACCCCTAGGAGTGGAGAGTCTACCAATTTCAGCCTACAGTCAACGAGGAAATGGGAACTGAGCTTGCCAACAGTCAGTGATCTTGAAAGCCTCAGATGATGTCAAAATCCCAACTAACACATTGATTTCGTCCCTGTAAGGTTCTGAGCTGAAAACCTAGCTACACCATGCCCAGATTTCTGACCTACAGAAACTTTAAGATAATACATGTGTGTGTTGGTTTAAGCCACTACGTTTGTGGTGAGTTTGCCACACAGCAATAGAAGGCCAATTCAAAGAGTGATTCATGAATTAAAATGTGTCAAGTTAGTTTAGTCAATGAGAATATTTTCATGGTTTGACTCCAAGGGCTCCTCATCCAATAGTAAGTTATTTAACGTTTTACTATGCATTAAATCAAAAAGCATCAAAGAAGTTAACATCATAGAGGGAAGAGGAGGGAGACTAAGGAAACATCAGCTTTTTTTTTTTTTGGCAAGGGTTTCATTGTCATCCAGGCTGGAGTGCAATGGTGCCATCATAGCTCACTGCAGTCTCGTCTCCTGGGCTCAAGTGATCCTCCCACTTCAGCCTCTTGAGTACCTGGGACCACAGGCATATGCCACCACACTCAGCTAATTTTACAAATTTTCTTTTTGTATAGACAGGGTCTCACTATGTTGCCCAGGCTGGTCTCGAACTCCTGGCCTCAGGGGATCCTTCTGCCCTTGGCCTCCTGAAGTGTTGGGATTATACACATGAGCCACTGCATCTGGTTAGGAAACATCTTTGGAGAATAATTTCATTAATTCTGCCCAGTGGTGGCCACAGAAAGCCAGGATTAATGGAGTAAACTGGTGGAGAGGCCTTCTGCTGGAGCTCCCTGGCCTTGTTTCCTCACACTTGGCAATGTGCTGTCCCTGCAGTCTTTTCTTCTTTAGTTCCAGGCCACAACTACAGCCACCCAGGTACTAAGACTCCTCTCTGGGCTGGACACCCTCCCACAGGTCCCCAGGACCCACAGTGACAACCAGAGTAGAAACAACAAATCAGTGTTCACACTCTGACCACACTCAGTTGTGGGGCTGGGCACCAGGATATAACCACTCACTTTATCACCATAAAAGAAAGCACAAATCATTACTGCAGAGTCCTCCCATATATGTGAAAATACAGAGATGGTCCCCACCCCACACCCTAAATAATATCATTTGAATTCTTATGTTAGGTTGTAAATTTTTTTTAATTCTTGCAAATTAAAAAAAAATTACCCTGGCTGGGCGCAGTGGCTCACACCTGTAATCCCAGCACTTTGGGAGGCTGAGGCTGGTGGATCATGAGGTCAGGAGATTCAGACCATCCTGGCTAACATGGTGAAACCCCTGTCTCTACTAAAAATACAAAAAATTAGCCGGGCACAGTGGCGTATGCCTGTAGTCCTAGCTACTCAGCAGGCTGAGGCAGGAGAATGGCGTGAACCCAGGAGGCGGAGCTTGCAGTGAGTCGAGATCGTGCCACTGTACTCCAGCCTGGGCGACAGAGCGAGACTCTGTCTCAAAAAAAAAAAAAAAAAAAAAAAAAAAAACTACCCTTCATTTTCATCTCCATTTTTTAAAATTGTACTCTTCATTTTCATAACATTATTGATTCTTTTATCCTAAAGCATTGTTAAATCGAAATATCATAAAACGGAACTTGCAGTAACTTACCCTGTAACTTTTTAGTCTGATGAAATCAACCTTCATAGAGACAAATCGATCTGAATTTCGGCTGATGTTCTTAAGGTGTTCTACGAGATCAGCACAGAATTTGTAACCTCCTTTAAGCACACACAGGACCATGATGTCACTATATCCTATGTCTTTCATAATATCCTTGGCCAGCCGCTCAATTCTGAAAGAAGGATAAAACATATATTAAGGCACAACTACTTCTGAGTATTTATGTTGCTTTAATAAAAATGCATGATGTATTATTGTACATATTCGATTACTCAGGGGAATGTGGAGAAAAGCTTGGGACACAGAAACCCGCAGATAGAAAAGCTTTGTTAAGGTTGAACATAAGGTGTTCAAAATATACTTTTTTTTTTTTTTAAGATGGAGTCTCACTGTGTTGCCCAGGCTGTAGTGCAGTGGCACGATCTTGACTCACTGCAACCACCACCTACTGGGTTCAAGCGATTCTCCTGCCTCACCCTCCCAAGTGGCTGGGATTACAGGCGCCCACCACCATACCCAGCTAATTTTTGTATTTTTAGTAGAGACAGGGTTTTGCCATGTTGGCCAGGCTGGTCTCTAACTCCTGACCTCAGGTGACCTGGCCACCTTGGCTTCCCAAAGTGCTGGGATTACAGGCATGAGCCACTGTGTCTGGCAGTATTTACTGAATTCTAAAGAAGACATATGATCATAAAAAATGTACATCAAAATATCTGGCATGCTCCTTAAAAAGGAACATTTGGGCCAAGAGTAGTGGCTCACACCTGTAATCCCAGCACTTTGGGAAGCCAAGACGGGCGGATCACTTAAGCACAGGAGTTCGAGACCAGCCTGGCCAGCATGGTGAAACCCTGTCTCTACTAAAAATACAAAAATTAGCTGGACATGGTGGCGGGTGCCTGTAATCCCAGCTACTCAGGAAGCTGAGACAGGGGAATCGCTTAAACCGAGGAGGCAGAGGTTGCAGTGAGCTGAAATTGCACCACTGCACTCCAGCCTGCACGATGGAGCAAGTCTCCATCTCAAAAAAAAAACAAAACAAAAAGGAACATTTGTTTCCAACATGATGAAGTAAGGAGGTGAACACATCCTCTCCAGAAAAGTAACTAGAAAACTGGTCAAAACTGCCAAAAACAACCATCTCATCATGTTGGAAATCAACCAAAGGCACACAACAAACTGAGAAGCATTTGATTTTGAAAACACTGAACACTGGGTGGAAACAGCATGAGTCTGGGGCATTCTTGCAACACTGGGTGGAAATAAGCATGAGTCTGCAAGCACTTTGCGTGGGATGCTTTTATCACCCGTCCCCGCCCCATCCTCAGCTCTGTTGAAATTAAACAGGTAGTCTATCCAGGTGGTATGACAGAGGGAGCTCACCTGATTGGGAACACTGCAAGCTAAAATGGTCACCTTGGTGGCAGGCCTCCCATTATCATGAGGTGCAGTCCCCACTGAGCAGGAACTGGTCTGATCAGATTTGATAGAAAGTTCCAGGAGTGAGATTAGACAGTCATAGAACAGGGGCACAATAAGTTCTTCATGCATCTCGTATTGACCAGAGGCTGTACATGTTGACAGCAAAGCGAGTTCAAGCCACCCACACATCCTGGACAACAATGGAGGCTGTGCATGCGGAGAAGGCACAAGAAAGCTCCAGGGAAAGTAAAAGTCAGAAAGATTTGAAAATGGTTGGAATTGAATCATTTCCTCGGGTTTCTCATGCACTCCCCATCAGCAGAGAGTGGCAGACTTATCAGCTTGATGTATTTGAGCACAACTTAAACCAATTGAAGGCCAAACACTACTATTCAGATACATAGGCAATCCCTAGTAAGTGAGGCTTAAAAATAAAAACAGGAGAAAATAAAACCCTACAGACATCAGAAGTCACAGCTGGTGAGGTAGGCAGATCCTTGAGGCCAGGAGTTCAGATCAGCCTGGCCAACATGGTGAAACCCCATCTCTACTAAAAATACAAAAATTAGCTGGGTGTGGTGGTGTGCACCTGTAATCCCAGCTACTCGGGAGGCTGAGGCAGGAGAATCACTTTAAAACCCCAGGAGGAGGAGGTTGCAGAGTGAGATTGTGCTATTGCACTCCAGTCTGGGTGACAAGAGTGAAACTCTGTCTCAAAAAAAAAAAAAAAAAAAAGTAGAATTTCACAGAGTGGAAGACAAAAAGGAACAATAACAGCAATGAATAGAAAATAGAGTACTAAACTGATTATATCAATACTCATTTTAAATATGAATGGTCTAAATATAGCAATTAAAAGACAGACTGTCAGGGTGGATTCAATAAAAGATATAACTCTATATTGCCTACAAAAAACTCACTTTATGGCTTACACTTGTAATCCCAGCACTTTGGGAGGCCGGGCAGGCAGATAGTCCTTCAGGTCAGGAGATCAAGACCATCCTGACCAACATCGTGGAAACTTTATCTCTACTAAAAATACAAACATTAACCAGGTGTGGTGGTGCATGCTTGTAATCCCAGCTACTTGGGAGACTGAGGCAGAGATCGCTTTGAACCCAGGAGTTGGAGGTTGCAGTGAGCCAAGATTGCACCACTGCACTCCAGCCTGTGTGACAGAGTGAGACTCTATCTCAAAAAAAAAAAAAAAAAAAAAAAAAAACTCACTTAAATATAAATATAAAAACACAGAGATTGGGAAAGTAAAGGGATGGAGGAAAGATATGCTACGCTAACATTAATCAAAAGAAAGTTGGAATAGTCATTTTAATTTCAGACAGAGCAGACTTCTGAGTAAGGAATATGCAGGACAGTGAGCATCATTACACAATAATAAGGAGGTCAATTTTTGGCAGAGACATCATAATTCCCCAATATGTATGCTCCTAACAACAAAGTGTCAAAAACTCAATAGAACTGCAGTAGAGAAACAGGCAACCACTATTTGAGACTTAACATCCTCATCAGTAATTGACAGATCCAATATTGAGAATCAGTAAGCATAGCTGAACTTTGTAGTTACCATCAACTGACTGGATCTAATTAATCTAATTAACACATATACAATACTTCACTCCACAACAGCAGGATATACATCCTTCTTAAAAGATACCAGTAAGAAAATAATAAGATGTCATAGGTTGGGAGTAAATATTTGCAAATCATGCATATCTGATAAATAATTATTATCCAAAATATATAAAGAACTTACAGTTCAATAAGAAGACAGTTGAAATTTAAAACTGGCAAAAGACTCAAAAGCACCTCTCTCCAAAGAAGACATGAATAGCTAACAAGTATACTAATGATTAGGAAGACACAAATTAAAACCATGGTGAGATATTTCATTAGACAGCCACAAGAATGGCTGTAATCAAAAAGATACATGGGGTCATTAAATGTTGGCAAGTATGTGGAAAACTGGAAACACTTTGGAAAATAACGGCAGTTTCTTACACTTACCAGAAAACCCAGAATTCCACGTTGAGAAGCTCCATCCAAGAGAAATGAAAGGATAAGGTCCACAAACTTGTATGTGAATTTTTTTTTTTTTTTGAGATCTGCCTGTCACCCAGGCTGGAGTGCAGTGGTGCCATCTCGGCTCAATGCAGCCCACCAGGTTCATGCCATTCTCCTGCCTCAGTCTCCCGAGTAGCTTGCGATCACAGGCCTGTGTTACTATGCCTGACTAATGTTTTTATTTTTTGTAGAGATGGGTTCTCACTACGCTTCCCAGACTGGTCTCAAACTCCTGGCTCAAACAATCCTCTTGCCTCGGCCTCCCAAAATGCTGGGATTACAGGAACAAGCCACTGAACCCAGCCCTATAAATTACATCTTAATTTTTTTTTTTTTTTTTTTTTTTTTTTTGAGACAAGATCTCACTATTTGAGACTACCCAGGTTAGTCTCAAATTTTTGGGCTCAAGTGATCCCCCCATTTCAGCCTCCAGAGTAGCCTGAATTACAGGTGCATGCCATAGCCCCTGGCTTATAAATTTATTTTAAAGGTGAAGACAGACATTCTTGGGCCCCACTCTAGAATATCGATTTGAAATTTCTAGACATAAAGCTTAAGAATATGCATTTTAACAAGTTCACTGGCAGATTCTCTTGTACAAAGAAAAGGCTGGGGTAACCCTACCCAGGAGTCAATCATGTTCTGACTGATTTTAAATTAATTTAAAATTAGAAAATTCAGGTAAGAAATGCAAGAATTTGTTTAAATTAGGAGCTTCCCAAACTGGTGTTAAGGGAAATCTCTTCTGAGCGTTATAAATAGGTAAACTGAGTCCAGAGTCTCCCTTTGCACAAAAATGGTTGGTTTAATTGTTAAAGTCAACCAGGTTTCTTTTCTTTCTTATTCTTTACTTTTGACTGGAATTTCCGTATTTTTAATATGCTAATGTTTGTTTTGACTTGTCAACCGAGAGACAAAAATACGGGAGATACAAAATTTCCAAGGTTTATTTGATCACGGAACTGTCCCCCTCTGTGACAGTGGGACTTCTATGCCACGGAAAAACCATCTTAGGACATTGTTATTTTGAGGCTGTTACTTGTAATAGCTTATATATGTATATCCTTCTTACCATATTACCATACCGTCTGAACAAATGTCCAGGTAAACCGTTCAGTTTAAGCATACATTCATTTTATTTCAAATTCACTGCCCTATATAAAAGTTTTCTCTACCATTATAAAAAGGAGCTCAGGAATAGGGTCCTAAAGTATAAAGTGGGATTCACACAAGTGTGGGCCAGCCCAATGCAGGACCCAGATTGACACAGGAAATCACACTTACCTGTCCACAATGATGCCATGAGGGATGAGGACATATTCCAAGTCTCCGTAATAGTGCTGTGGGTACGTGAATAAATTCAAGTCATACCCTGGCCAATCATCCATAATCTGCAAATCAAATTATTTTGGTTATGGTATTTTTTCATCAGAAATTTCTGTTTAAAACATAACAAAAGAGTATCATTTGAAAGCAGAATTCCCTCAACGTATGAAAAGTTGGGTGGAACAAGGTTGTTTCCACAACTTGATACAAGGCTTAGTACTAAAGAGAATGGAGCACTCCATTCCCAACTATTGGCATCATAAAATATTCGTTTTGTTTTGTTTTGTTTTCTTTGAGACTTTGAGACAAGAGTCTTTCTCTGTCACCCAGACTGGAGTGCAGTGGGGTGATCTCAGCTCACTGCAACCTCTGTCTCCCAGGTTCAAGCAATTCTCCTGCCTCAGCCTCCTGAGGAGCTGGGACTACAGACTTGTGCCACTATGCCCAGCTAATTTTTGTATTTTCAGTGGAGATGGGGTTTTGCCATATTGGCAAAAGACCAATGGTCTTGAACTCCTGACCTCAAGTGATCTGCCTGCCTCGGCTTCCTAAAGTGCTAGTTTACAGGCATGAGCCACTATGCCTGGCCTATCATACAATAAAAATATGAAGTCAGTGTTTTATAGGTAACCCGATAGTATTATTTATGAGTGCATATGTGTAATACATAATTTGTCTCCAAATTATATAATTATCATAAATATATTATGATAAATAACATATTTGTAATTCTAAAATACATACAGTATCATTATTATATTATTCTCTTTTTTTTTTTTTTTTGAGACAGAGTCTCGCTCTGTCGCCCAGGCTGGAGTGCAGTGGCCAGATCTCAGCTCACTGCAAGCTCCGCCTCCCGGGTTTACGCCATTCTCCTGCCTCAGCCTCCCAAGTAGCTGGGACTACAGGCGCCCGCCACCTCGCCCGGCTAGTTTTTTGTATTTTTTAGTAGAGACGGGGTTTCACCGTGTTAGCCAAGATGGTCCATTATTATATTATTATACATACTACTACATTTCTATTTATTGTAAGTGCCTCATCTGCCTAGAAAAGATTTCTTATTAAAAGTATTTCCTGGGATCAGAGTAGACCCAAACTTTTGAGTGTCTAGTCATTATAGTAAAGACTTTAAAACGATGTACTATGTTGGACACTTAAACTGTCCTATTAGAAACTGATGGTCCAGAAAATTGGCCTATTCACATAGTGGATGGACTGATTGTAAGTCTCCCTCTCGCTTAGAACTTGATGTACTAGTTTTACGGTCAGAATAGTAAAGAGGTGGGGGAGAAAGGGGGGGGGAAGGTGGAGTTACTTTTACTTTCAGAACATCAGGAAAAGATGTAACAATGAAATGTTATGCACTCAAATCATACTCTAGCTGTATACCAGTTTCCCATTCTTTTTTTTTTTTTTTTTTTTTTCTGGGACAGGGTCCCGCACTGTCACCCAGGCTGGAGTGCAGTGGCGTGATCTCTGCTCACTGCAACCCTGCCTCCCAGGTTCAACTGATCCTCCAGCCTCAGTCCCCTGAGTAGCTGGTGTGTGCCACCATGCCCAGCTAATTTTTATGTGTTTTTTGTAGAGATGGGGTTTTGCCAGGTTGCCCAGGCTGGTCTTGAGCTCCTGGACTCAAGCCATCTGCCTGCCTTAGCCTCCCAAAGTGCTGGGATTACAGGTGTTGTCCAGCACACCTGGCCTCAGTTTCCCATTCTTTACTCAGTCCTGCACACTTTTGACTCCTCTGTCCAGCTTTGAGCTTCTGAGGCCTTTCACAGTGCAGACCCACCCTAATTTCCCAGCCCAACTCCCTATATCTTTGCTTCCTGCCTTCAGAATGGTTTGCAGTCAAGTCAGGATCCTTCCCAGCTCTGGGTTTCATTCATTCATTTGCCGTGCACCCCTTCATTCTCTCTCCCCCTTTCCTCCTCTGCCTCTGTATTCCGAACTCAGAAGCCCAGGTCACACCCCACTTCATGGAGGGCTTGCTGACTGCCCCCAGCCTCTGATCTGCTTTCCCAAATTCCTGCTGCCCCTTGTAGCTCTCTGTCCTACCCAAGGCTCCCATGCAGGATCCTTGAGAAGGCTCCTGTCCCTTGGAATTGTCACTGACTCCTTTCTTTCATCCCCCTCAGGCAACACAGTAGAAAACTATATCTTCAATTCCCTCAAAATTTATCCAGGACCACCTCTCAGCACCTCCACTGCTGTTCCCCCACCCCCAGGCCAGTCCACTGCCACCATCATTTCTCCCAGGACTGTCCTAGGAGCCACTACAATTGTCTCCCTGCTTCCACTTTGCAGCCCCTCCATATGGAAGCAGACACGCTCCTTTAAAAATGCACATCATAGCCAGGTACAGTGGCTCATGCCTGTAATCCCAGCACTTGAGAGCCGGGGTGGGAAGACCCCTTGAGGCCAGGAGTTAGAAATCAGCATGGGCAACACAGCAAGATCCTGTCTCTGCAAAAAATTAAAAAATTACCCTGGCAAGGTGGCATGTGCCTGTAGTCCAACCTACTCAGGAGGCTAAGGTAGGAGGATCACGTGACCAGGAGTTAGAGGCTGCAGTGAGCTATGAGTGCCACTGCACTCCAGCCTGGGTGACAGAGCAAGACCTTGTCTCTCAAAAAATAAAAATAGACAAACAAAGGACATCCTATCATGGCAGCCTTCTCCTTAGATTTTTTTCAAGGGCTTATCATTTTACTCAGAGTAAAGGCCAGAGTCCTCACTGTGGCTCACCAGGGGTTACCTGTCTGACTCATTCCTGGCACTCTTCCTCTTCCCTCTGCTTCAGACGCTGTTCTCTTGCAAGTCCTCTGATCTGCCAATCACGCCTCTGCCTCCCGAGTTTTGCACTGGCACCTCCTCTTGCCTGCAACACTCTTCCTCCAGATTTCCACATGGCTGTCCTCTACTTCTTTCAAGTCTCCATTCAATGTCACCTCTGCAGAAAGGCCTTCCCTGACCTTCATAGCCTGTTTTACCACTGAATGACGTGTGTGTGCATGGGTGTGTTCTGTCGGAACATGAGCTCCTTCTGGCGGAGACTTTTTCTGATTCATTGTTCAATCCCTCAGTGCCCAGAATGCTGATCTGGAATATGGTAAGTGCTCAAAAATGTTAAATGAATGAATGGATGACACAGTCTCCATCCTCCGGCTACCTGAAAACCTGAACTCCAGCCTGAACTCTCAGTTTGTCTCCTTGTGATAAAGAGCACCACTGTTCAAGGTTCTGGAGATTCCAGTGTCTCATATCCATTGGCTGACTGGTGGCCAAATGATGTATATCAACTATGTTATTTTTTAAGAGACAGACTCTCCCTCTGTTGCCTACACTGGAGTGGAAGGTCACAATCATAGCTTACTGCAGCCTCGAACTTTTAGGCTCAAGTGATCCTCCCACCTCAGCCTCCCAAGTAGCTGGAGAGAAGGAGCGCACAAATACGCTCAGCTTATTTTCTTTGATTTTTTTGCAGAGATGAGGTCTTGCTATGTTGCTCAGGCTGGTCTCAAACTCCTGGCCTGAAGGGATCCTCCCACCTTGGTATCCCAAAACGCTAGGATTATAAGTGTGAGCCACCATGCCCAGTCAATCTGCATATTTGAAAAGTGTCTCATTTGCTCTTCCTCTACCATCAAACTGGCTGGTGGGACTGCTGGATTTGCACCAAGCTCCTCCGGCTGCCACCCTGAGAACTCCTTGTACCTGCTATAACCTCTAACACCACAGCAGCTGGCCAGAGTCTAGACTACCAGCCGTACATGAGGAGACTCCAGGAGAGCCTCTGGCAGGCCACAGTAAAGACCAGACCAGGAGAACCCTGACTGGCCCCAGGCCCCAGGGGGATCACCCAGGTGTACAGCACTTTCTGGATCCCCTTTCAGACCACATTTAGTATCTACCCCACTTTCTGGAGCTCCGCCACCAGTGGCACTATTAACAGGTGGTCTTCTGAATCCATTCCTCCAACCACATCAATCCTTTACTGCCCCCTGCTCTGGTTGAATCTCGGAGCATACTCTCCACTCCACGTTCAAGAGTTTGGCTCTGATACTTATTACTGTGATGTTAGGGAGATGACTTACCCTCTCTGCAATCCAGTTTCCCCTTGCTTTAAATAAGACACAACAAAACCTATGGATAAGGTTATTGTAAGGATAATATACTTAGAATACCTGGAGCACTGCATGGTGTATAACACATGATGTTTGACACGTGATGCCAAAAAAAGGAAAGAGACTAAAAGTGCCAAAAATGAATGCCAAAAATAGGAAAAGATGATAAGAAAATGACAAATGAAACAAACCTATAGATTAAAACTGTAACATGGATCCATAGCCCAGAGGCAGCACAGAGTACTGTGTTAAGAGCATGGACATGGAAGTCTCATACACCTGGGACAAGTCTGCCAGCCATGAGGCCTTGGGCATATCACATTCTCTAAGTCTTAGTGTATTCATCTATGAAATGGAGTTAGTACCTGCCTCATATGGCTATGGCGAGCATTAAATAAGATAATGAATGTAAGACTCATATCAGTATCTAGTCTACAGTACTTATGCAATAAATGCTGATCATTTAGGTGAACTGAAACATCAAACATTTAACAACAAATTATATGTGTTAATTCATCTAAAGAAGTGCCTCAAACCTATATACCGGTCTTATTATCTTAGTTAAAACTATACATTTGAGGCCTGGCACACTGGCTCATGCCTGTAATCCCAACACTTTGGGAGGCTGAAGTGGGAGGATCACTTGAGCCCAGGAGTGCGAGACCAGCCTGGGCAATATACCCCATCTTTATAAAAAAGAAAAAGAAATTGGTCTGGCGTGATGGCATGTGCCTGTAGTTTCAGTTACTTGGGAAGCTGAGGCGGGAGGATTGCTTGAGCCTAGGAGGTCAAGGCTGTAGTGAACCATGATCATGTCACTGCACTCCAGCCTGGGCAGCAAAGTGAGACTGTCTCAAGAAAACAAAACAAAAAGTATAAAAGTAAAAAATATATTTCTCTAAAACTGTTCTATAATCCAAATTGGCCATTATTTTCAATTAATCTGAAATAGTGAGTTTTCATTGTTGAGATGAAAGTCAATTCAAGATGATGGAAACACTGGTTTAGGCTTTGTTAATTTCAATGGTGCATGCACATCCTGTTGTAAATAAATTGAAACCTGTAGGAATGGAGGTTGCTATGAACTGTAGATAATTGTTATTCACGTGCTTTTTAAAAAATCAAAACCAGAGTCTGTAGATAGTTTCAGTATCACAGATAATATGCTCTAAGTGTATTCAGCACAATGCTTTCTCTGTTCAAAACAGCAAAACATAGCCAAGCTGGGGGAAGTAACAAACCCATGAACTGAGTCATTTTATGCAACATCCAAATCCCAGAACTCATTCTGATTCTCTTTTTCGCACTGAAGATGCACTGAAAACTTTGTAAGTCATTAAGAATATTTTTTTTGTGCTTAGACTATTTTTTGCATTATTTTTCTCCCTGAGGGAGAAAACACATATAAGAAGCTAATCTCTACTCCTCTCCCCCGCTGAGCTCCACAGATTGGCCCCGTTCTCTCCTTCAGGCCATAGCTCTCATCTGTCCTCCACCAGCAAGAGAAAGGGGGTCTCATCCCTTCATTCTAATTCAAAGAATCCCAGACAGGAGTTCTGGGATTCCTGTGCCAGCCCCAGAGCCAGGGAGGGAGGTACCCTGGGAAGGGACTCACCTCAAAACCACAAATCTTGAAAAGTGGGGACAAGTGGTTTGCTAAAAGATTCCCAGGTTCTGCTCACAGAGGAACAAAGGAAGTTCGACAGGCCAACCACCTCGTATCCACATGCCTTCCTCTTTTGTGGTGGGTTTGCCCCTCCGAAGGAAGACTCATTACCACCTAGTAGAGCTGTGCTTTCGATGGAGCTAGACCTGATTACTTTTCTCTGCTACTGCCATATTTTCACTGGGGGTGATGGGAAGCCAGCCATAACAGAAACACAACAATCATTTCAGCTTTTTCTCTTCTCCTGATTCCTACCAGACTCAGGTAAGTACTAATGATGGCTCCCTTGATAATCCTTTGGCGAAAACCAAACCAGACAAAAACAAACAAACAAACAAAAACATGTCTAATAACCCAATTCCCAAAAGCCAGGTGGATAGAGAAGATCTTTCTCTCTACCTGAGAAGTAACAAAAAGGCATCAACCAGGAATCTGGTCACTTTATTAGCTCCAGATCAAATGGCAAGCCAACTCCGAGCAAATTTCTCACCTTAGGATCTACCTCTCTTGTGTGGCAATTAGCATTTGCTACCATTCATTGTTAATGGTATAAATGTCCCACCTCCCCAGTTCAACTGAAAGCCATTTATAGGCAAGAGCCATCTTATATCTCTTAATATTCCCTTCTCTTGCACAAACTTTACTTCTCGTTTCATGCTTATAACATCTGACTCTACATCCCTTGCCATCTTTATCAACAAATTTCTACCAACTCAGAATTTTCTTCTTTACCTAATTCCTGGACAATTCCTTGGGTGATTTACTCCAATACCTACCGCGACAATCCTTCCAACAACTTCATCTTGCAGCTCCTCCACCAGCTCAAACTACATACCTAGCTCAAACCACATCTTTATTCCCCATTTAGCAATATATTCACATAGCCACACCAGTCCTACAGACGGCCCCAACCCCGAAATTCCATCCTGGAATCACAGCTTCCTATGTAGCATAGTGATTGAAAGCTGGTTCAAATCCTGCTACTGCCATTTGCTACTTCTATGACCTGGGTGATTTACTTAATCTCTCAGTGCCTCAGTTTCCTCCTCTGTAAAATGGGGAGTACACTAGACCTCCCTTACAGATTTGTGCTCAAGAAATGCTTGCTATTATTACCTGCCCTCTGCCCCTTTTTTGAGACAGGGTCTCACTCTGATGCCCAGGTTGGAAGGCAGTGGCGCGACCATGGCTCATTGTAGCCTTGATTTCCTGGGTTCAGGTGCTTCTCCCACCTCAACCTCCACAGTAGCTGGGACTACAGGCATGCACCACCACGCCCAGCTAATTTTTGTATTTTTTGTAGCGAGAGGGTTGGCTGCCCAGGCTGGTCTCGAACTCCTGGGCTAAAGTGATTCACCCACCTCGGCCTCCCAAAGTGCTGGGACTACAGGTGTGAGCCACCACTCCCGGCCACCTGCCCCTTTTGAAAACTGGTACTAATTTGGTATTTTGTATCCCATCCATGAGAGCATTCTATTCTCCCAGTAAACTCACCCTCTCCAGCTTTCCTTTCCCTCCTGCCTTACCTGCCATAAGTTGCCTTCTACCAGCAGCTTCGATTGACTCTGAAATTACCTGCTTATATCCAACTCGAGGTTAATCTAATTATTCCAAGTTCTACTGGAGAAAAGGATGTAAATGCAGGGACTATCTCCATTATACATGGACTATTTCCCACCTTGGTGGGCTCTCATACAAGCACCAAGCCCCATGGCAGCTGGTCCAGTTTATACTCATTTTTTTGTTTTTATTTTTATTTTTACTTTATTTTATTTTATTTTATTTTATATTTTTTTGAGAAGGAGTTTCACTCTTGTTGCCCAGGCTGGAGTGCAATGGTACAATCTCGGCTTGCTGCAACCTCCACTTCCCAGGTTCAAGCAATTCTCCTGCTTCAGGTTCCCAAGTAGCTGTGATTACAGGCATGCACTACCATGCCCAGCTAATTTTGTATTTTTAGTAGCAGCGAGGTTTCACAATGTTGGTCAGGATTTTATTGAACTCCTGACCTCAGGTGATCCACCCACCTTGGCCTTCCAAAGTGCTGGGATTACAGGTATGAACCACCTCACCTGGCCCTCTATTCTCTTTATACCCCTCTCACTACCTCTTTGCATCTTTCAAAAAATTACCTTGCTTCCAGGAGGACCTCTGTTGACACCCATAGACTGGGCTATTTACAATGTTCTCTCACTTGTTTCTTAGACTTCAACAATTTACCTACTCTATCAGTGCATCTAGATCCACCTTATTCTTTTCTAAAAGTATCTAGTATGTTATGGTAGTACAAGTTGAGTACGCCTCATCCAAAATGCTTGGGACCAGATGTGTTTCCAATTTCTGATGTTTTTCTTTTCCTTTGGATTTTGGAATATTTGCATTATACTTCCTGGTTGAGCATCCCTAATCTGAAAATCCGAAATCCAAAATGCTCCAGCGAGTATTTCCTTTCAGCATCATGTTGGCGCACAGAAAGTTTCAGATTTGGGGGCATTTTGGATTTTGGATTTTTGGATTAGGGATGCTCAACTTGTACTATATTTTAACTGTTCTACCAATGGAGTGGTTGTTTAAAAGATTCTGCCTACTAATGACTTTGTAATTGTTAAATACAGTGGCTGTTTTCCATCTTGGTATCCAACTTGCTGTCCCTGTAGCATCTGACACTTCTGATGACCTCTTGACACCGCCCCTCCTGCTCAACAATGCTCTGTTCCCAAGGCACCCACCACCCTGCCTGCCCTCCCACCCTTCAGCGTTCTTTCTCAGTTCCTTCAACCGGCTTCTCCCCAACAGGCAGCCTCCTACATTTGGGACTTTCCAGGCTTCCATCCTTAACAGTTGCTTTAATTGTTTTTTCCACATTCACTGAGCATTCCTGAACATTAAATATTATTCTTTCCGCTGATTTCCAAATCTCTCCAATCACTCTCCTGAATTCCAAATGTGAATTTCAAATTGCCTACAGTGCAGCCTGATCTGTGGGCCTTACAGGCACTGCAGACTCAATTTGTCCACAATGAACTTAATGATTGCCCTTTTTGCGTTTTACTCTCCCTCCCATCCATTACACCACTAGGCTTGCCCCTCCTCCTGGGGCAACTGGAATGGTTTTTGTAAAAGCATAAATCGGATACAATGATTCTTTTGCATTTGATATGCGGGTCTCTGCCTGCAGTCCACATGGCTACTCCTGTGTACCCTTCAGATCTTAGCTCAAAGGTCACCGCAGAGAGGTTGCCCTGACCACCTGAGCAAAAGCATCACTCCCCGCTTCTCCTCCAATTACCCTCTATCCTGTTACCCTCCTCCTATTGCACATCTCTATTGGAAATTTTCTCTGTTTACACACTGCTTGCCTGTGTCTTCTCTAGAACACAAGCTTATGAAGACAAGGCCTTTGTCTTTTGCACCCCAGAGCCTAAAACACCTTCTGCAACCCAGCAGGACAATAAACTTGTGGAATGAATAAATAAATCAACTCCTCATCCTTTAAGAAGGAAAGGGCCTGCTGTTAAATTAAGCACTGGGCCCCACATTTCAACCTGACCGGTTCTGTCTGAGTGTGTCACGTTTCCCTCCCCAGCCCACTTACTTTAGTTCAGGCCATTCATATTCATAAACAGATTATCTGTGAATGACAAGCTGATCCCTGGAAAGAGATGGCAAGTTAGCTCCACCCACCATTCTCACCACCATTGAGTTTCACACTGAACTTGACACAAGTTATAACCACCACCTTCTAGGAAAACCACTTCTCAGGGAGCAGGGAGGATGTGGCCACAAGGTCAAGAACGGATTAGATCCTAGCACACTGAGAGATGGGTACCCTCTGGCTGACACCGCCAGGAGGCTCAGTTCTGGGAAACCAGCATCCCACACCCTCCCATCCGGACACACTGCTAGATATTTTACATGCATCCTCCCAATTCGCTCCAGAGCCCAGCCTGCTGTTGCTCCCTTTTACAGACA